CTTCGATGCATATGAGTGTACTATTTGCTGCGATCAAAACATGTCCCACGAAGGGCGCGCTGTTGGTCTTTATTGCAAAGCCAAGCCGATCTCCAATTGAAATGGGAGCCAAAAGTACTTATACACAAACGCAAAAAGCGTAAACAACGACAGAAATGTTTTGCAAGGTCGACCTATTATATTATCATGAGAAAGGGCGAATCTTGCTTGCCTCAACAGATGGAAACCGATTTACGACTCTCTTGGTTTATTCTTATAATATGCTAAGTGTGCGCCATTTTATAATCATACTTCCTCCTCTCTGACAAATAAATTGGTGTTTTACCCCTCACCACCGCCACTTCCCTCCCCGTCTCCAAAAACACCCCAACCAACCAACCAACCAACCAACCAACCAACCAACCAACCAACCAACCAACCAACCAACCAAACAAACAAACAAACAAACGAACCAAAGAACGGACAAACGAACGAACCAACGAATAAACAAACAAACAAACATAAAAACAAACAAAACAAAAACAAACGAAAGAACGAACAAACAAGCAAACAAAACAAACAAACAAAAACAGGCAAACGAAAGATCGAACAAGCAAACAAACAAACAAACAAGCAAAACAAAGCAAACCAGGAAAAAACGCCATTATTTATTTTCCTTCTTGAATCATGACAACAGTGAGGAGTCCGCTGATGACACGGAGTCTGTCATAGACATTTCAACGTCACATCAGACATGGAGTGGCCTCATCTTGATGAACGGGTTCCCTTTTGTTGATGCACATGCTCTTGTTAAGGAAGCACAGGTAGGCCTAAGCAGATGGCGGTTATGGATTCGGTGATCATTGAATCCATGGCTTGCTTTGTGTGACGGGATGGCAACACTAGGGAAAACACATATCGATTTATATACTGGTAGCTATGTCCAGTCATCGAAGTTGTGGTGTTGTAGTGGTGGTGGTCGTCATTGTGATGATGATGAGGAGGAGGAGGAGGAGGAGGAGG